TTTTGTACATCTTCATCCTTTACTATTAGCCTTCCTAAATGAGGTTAGCCCCTTCATTTATATTTATTGATATTATAAATGTTGGCTTCAGATCTGCCTATTTTATTTTACTTACTTATTTTGTGGTTATTGGGGCTTGAACTCAGGGTCTCATGCTTGCTAGGCAGGCACTCTATCACTTGAGCCACTCTGCCAACCTTTTTTTGTGATGGGTTTTTTCAAGATAGGGTCTCACAAACTATTTGTCTGGGCTGACTTTGAACTGCAATCCTCCTGATCTCTGCCTTCCAAGTAGCTAGGATACAAGTGTGAGCCACCAGCAGCTGGCTGCCTTACTATTTTAAACATGTATCTTCAGTGTTCAGGAAGAGTTTGTATTTTTATTCTAATGGTTATATTTATTCTAATTATTTTATATATGTTTTCTTTTGGGCTATTACAAGCAATATTAAAATTATCTAGCAATTTTTTAAAATTTTTTTATTATTCATATGTGCATACAAGGCTTGGATCATTTCTCCCCCCTGCCCCCACCTCCTCCCTTACCACCCACTCCGCCCCCTTCCTCTCCCCCCCCAACCCCCTCAATACCCAGCAAAAACTATTTTTCCCTTATCTCTAATCTAGCAATTTCTTATTTTTCCCTAGCACCTAACATCAGAAAAACTCTTACTCCTAGGTAATAGCTGTATTTAAGAATCAAAGCACTTATTCTGGAGGCTGATAGAGTGCCTACCTAGCAAGTAAAAAAGGGCTGAGTTCAAACCCCAGTACTGCCCCCACCCAAAAATAACTTATTCTATTTCATATACTCTCCCTAATGCCTCCTTATTGATAATTGTCCTGTATTTAGAGGATTGTCAAGAAATCTCAAAAATAAATAGATACACAGTAAGGGCCTATTGGTGTTACATTTCAAAACATAGTATCTATTTCCAGACTATGGCTATCCTGCATATTGTTAAAAGCACATGGCTATCACATATTACACAATTTCCATTATTATAATCATCATTTATTCTTAGTTATGGAAGTAAAAACAAATTTAATTCTCATCACTAGTGAGAAACACTGCTGTCTCTTCCTCTATTTTGGTTGTCTAAAGCTAGTTCTCTAGATTCTTCAGAAAAGGCTCTTACCAAGAATATTCCTACAAAGAATAACAAAAAGAAGGAAAGGGAGGAGGGGGAGGAGGAGGAGGATTCTTTTGCGATTTATGGGGGCTGGAAGGAGATGTAATAGCAATCTCCATTAGAGGGAGCCTTAGTCTCAAGAAATAAAATTGGTTATTTGAAATCTGTAGAGGCTTTGAAATGATAGCTTTTATATTTCTAGCCATACATTTCTTCAGGGCTTGCTGTGTACAGAACTGGTTTCATTTCCTGTAAGGAAATCTACAAAGGCCAGGGGTATATGAATAGTTCAAAATTAGGCTGGTAGCTTGGTTGGATGAGCTACTGTTAGCCCAGGAAGAGGTAAAAGCCAGGTCTCCAATCCAACACCCATCTCAGTTAACTAGCATTCAGGGCACTTTGGAGCTACTTGGAAGAAATCGAGGGTGGATGAAATGACTAGGGACAGTGATTCCAGAGGTCAAACTGTCTCCTGAATAATAATACATGAGGTACATGTCTTTAAGAGTAATTGGTTACTCATCATTGTTCTTGTTTTTAAATTCTGCAATGGGAAGAAAAATATGTTAAAAGTTGAAGTTGCTGGGGGTGAGGGGGAAGGTGGCCCAAACAATGTATACACATATAAGTAAATGTAAAAACAATAAAAAAAGGAAAAAACCTAAAAAAAATATACACCAGACACAGGAATGACAAAGCCCCAAAGGAAAGCAGTGACTTTTGTAAGTCAGAGAATTAGGTATTTGAGAAAGAGTGATCTCAGCTTACCCTTGAGTTCGAAGTCTTTTAAAAGAGTAGGAAAACTTGGACCCCCATCACTAGGAATATGATTATCCATGTGAATGAAGTATGTCAGTGGGGCATTTGTTCTGTATATCTAATTTTGGATATACGTATTCTTAATATAAATGTATTTTAACAAAGGTACAGAACCCTGTATCCACAAAAAAAAAAAAAAGTTGAAGTTGCTGACTGTGGTCTATTATAGACAGCACTAAATGTTGTAGTTTAACAATACAAATTTCTGTGAGTCCCTCAAAGTTTTGTTACATAAACTACCATATTTATTTTTTTTTTTCAGTACTGGAGTTTGAACTCAGGGCCTTCACCTTGAGCCATTCCACCAGCCCCATTTTTGTGAAGGGTTTTTTGAGATAGGGTCACACGAATTATTTGCCCAGGATGGCTTTGAACCTTGATCCTTCTGATATCTGCCTCCTGAGTAGTTAGGATTATAGGTGTGAGCCACACATTACCCAGTTAGTTTTTTTAAGACCTGGAAAATGGTGTATGATAAAAGCAGAATGCTTGGCAAGCTAATCAATCTAGCTAGCCTTCAATGTCTGTCAGAGAACTTTCATATGTGACTGGAAGGGAAAAACCTGTGTAATGCAGTATGTCAACATCTGTCAAGGTAATTTTTAAAAATTAAGAGCAAAAATGAGCTAACTAAACCTTTAATTTTTTATAAGTTAAAAAATAAAACGAGCACAGTTATCACATATTCTTACACCTCTAACAGAAAAGCAGAGAGAAACATACCAGTTGAGGATAGAAACTCCAAGATGAATGATGTTTGCATAATTTAACTGTCATTGTAGCTTCAAGGGCCCAAATGGATATTCTAGAACAAAGACAGCCTTTAGTTTTCTTTTTCCTCTCCTAGCAACAATGTCTAAAGGTATTCAGAATGGTTTAGCATTGTAGGTTCTACAATACAGCCTCTAACAAAACTAACCTGTCCCACATTCTTGGTAAAAGAGGTGTTTATTTTTATACCTAGAAGGTTGGGAAAGCACCAAAATCTGCATGTGGTATGTGTGTAGGTTCATGCTGTGAAACCTAAAGTCCTTAGGAGAGTACAATGAAAAACACGTCAACAGGGATATGGTAGAGGGCTGGTGGAGTGGCTCAAGTGGTAGGGTGCCTGCCTAGTAAATCTGAGGCCCTGAGTTCAAATCCAATACCACTAAAAGCAAAACAAATCCAGGGCTGGTGGTTGCATGTGTAATGTGTCCATGATAAAAATCAAGCATGCTTTCCTTATTCAAGCATGCTTTCCTTATTGAGCAGAAAATCCTTGTGAAAATATTGAACGCACAAAGTTAGAAAGCTAAATAAAAATATGTATTTATTTTTTTGCTTGCTTGCTTGCATGAGGTCCTAGGTGGGATCTCCAGCACCACTTAAAAATAAATAAATAGGGGGAAGGGGTGAGAAATGACCCAAACATTGTATGCACATATGAAGAAGAAAAAAAAAGTTAAATAAATAAAATATAAACCTTAAATAAATAAAAGACAGTCCTCAGTCCTTAAATAATCCCATCTCTTCCATCACTCTAGAGCAGTCACACCCAGATCATCTTTCTAACCTCCAGTTAATCTGTTAACTACCAGATTAACCATCAGATCCTACACAACAAGAGCTATTTTTACCTTCATCTCTAGAAGTGTTAAGAATGTTCCTATACTTGGTGTGTCAATGGGATGAGGACTTTGTGGGAAGAAATAACTTCCCTTCGTGGGAAGAAGGGATTTCTCAGGCATAGAGGTGCATTCCTGTAATATGAGCTACTTAGGAGGTGGAGGCAAGAAGATGGCAAATTTGAGGCCAACCTGGACAAAGTTAGCAAGACCCTATCTTTAAAACAAAAATTACAAGTGAAAGAGCTAAGGGTATGGCTCAAATACTAGAATACTTGCCTAACATGCTCAAGGCTCTGGAAAAAGTATGAGGGAGGAAGGAAAAAAGACTAAAAATTATTCTGGTCTCAATTTTCTCGTGTGTGTGTGTGTGTTTTGACAGTCTTAGTATGTATCCCATGCTGGTCTGGAACTCTCCATCCTCCTGCCTCATTCTCCTGAGTGCCAGGACCACAGGCGAGCACCCCCCACCCAACTCTCAATTATCTGTTTCTTTGGACAATGTATTTCTTCGTCTTTCCCTTTCATCCTTACACCTTATACAACTGTCAAAGCACAGTTCCACTTGCTTATTAATTCTAACAACCCAGTAGATGACTATTTTAATACAATTTTTTTTCCTTTGATGGTACTCGGGTTTAAACCCAGTGCCTCAAGCTCTAACATTTGATTCATGTCCCCCAGTCCTATAATGCCAATTTAGATAAGTCTCAGATTTCAGAGGGGTTTTCTGGTCCTGCAGATGTTAGGGTTGTTCCAGTACCACATCTTAACTCTCCAAACCTGGTGATTTCTGCTCCAACTTTCTCTCATCATCCCTGCTCAATCTCCCTGCAGGAGCGCCTCATACCATCTTAACCCAGCCCACACTAAGCACCTGTGTTCTTAGGATCTGTAGTTCTAGAGAGTGATAGAGAAGACAGTTATTTAAGGACCAAGAATAAGATAGGTATTTTTTTTTCCTTCTGGGAACAAATTTGAGGCAATTGCTTTTTAGATATTGTTCCTTTGTTATTCTACCTGAGAAAATTAAGTAGTGGGTTCCTATAAGCAGTATCTTTACCAGTACTGAGTATCCACTGTGCTTTGATACTGTCTGAACACTTTATCCACTTTTATCTCACCTTGTAAAGAGCAGGCTCTATTTCCACAATACAAACAAGTCAACAGACATTTAGTGAAGGGAAGCCAGTTGCTTAATACCACACAGTTTCTATGTTTCCATGTTAAATAAGGACTCAAACCCCAGTTTCTGGCTCTACAGTCTGTTGCACATTATACCACACTACCCAGTGAACCCACCTTTTGGGGTTCTTTGGTTTGTTAAAGTGGTTAAAGATGCCAAAGACAACTTGGAAGTCCTTTAGCAGGATTATGTTATGCTAGGGGACAAAAAAAAGAGAAAGGGGGAGGCTACTATTTAGTTAATTTCTTATGTTTTCTCAGTCCTTCACAGCTCTAAAATGAAAACGAACCTGTTTTGGAGAGAAGAATGGGGGCAGCGTGAGCCAAGGAAGTAATAAGCAGCCAACCACTGCTGATTTGGAGGCAGTCCCAGAAGGGCAGCCTTCTGCAGTTACCAGGCAACAAGTGTAAACAACACAGGGTCATGGCCACTAACTACAGTGCCAACCAGGTAAGTTCTCTTTCTTCTCTTCTTTAACATTTAATTTTCTCTTCTAGATTCTATCTTTGAACTGACCCTTCCCATATATTCTGGTCATTGAACAGATACTGAGAGTGGGTTGAGATAGTCTTTCACCTCAAGGTTGGGAGGGCCCAGGGACAAGAAAAAGGTGTATCTGGGTTGAATTTGTAGGATGTAAATCAGGGGTCAGGAATTTTTTTTTTCCTGTAAAAGGCCAAAGAGTAAATATTTTAGGATTTGTGAGCCAAGTGGCAAAGTCAAAGATATTGTGTAGATACGTATGTGAGAGGAAAGCTTTCCATTAAATTTTTTGTAATTTTTTTTTTTTGTGGTACTGAGTCTTGAACTCAGGGCCTTTACCTTGAGCCAGCCCTTTTTGTGATGGGTTTTTTTGAAATAGGGTCTCGAGAACTACTTGCCTGGGCTGGCTTCAAACCTTGACCCTCTTGATCTCTGCCTCCTGAATAGCTAGGATTACAGGTGTGAGACTGGCTTCGGCAAAATTTAAAATACAATTAACTTGGGTATTATTGTACTTAACCTTGCTTGAGAATACAATTATTTGTAGTACTAGGGAAAAGAATGTAATTATTTTGGAGAAAAACTTTTGCATAACTGGTATTTAAAGTTACTGGGGATTTCTTTTGTTCTGAACATAGGAACTAAGTAGCAGGCTTTCCTGGTACTCATTATGTAGTCTAGGCTGGTCTCCAACTCTTTGTTTCTTCATTTTTTAGTACTGGGGTTGAACTCAGGACATCCTGCTTGTTAGGCAGGAGCTCTACCACTTGAGCTATGCCACCAGTCCTGGTCTTAAACTCTTGATCCTCTGGACTCAACCTTCCGAGTGCTGGGATTATAAGTGTGAACTACCATGTCTTTTTTTCAAGTCACCTACAAATGTTTGATTATAAAAGCCATTCTCAGTTCTCAGGCCATCCAAAAAGCAGGAAGCATTTGGTTCATGAGCCATAACTTACCTTTGGCATAGACCAATCTAGTAAAGAATGTGAGTCACAAATGTAGTTTAAAAACTTCTAATAGCTATGTGAAAATGAAAAATACTTATAGTAAGGCTTTATTTAACCCAATAAATCCAAACTATTATTTGGACACGTAATCATTATTTTAAAAATTATAATCAGACATTTTATATTCTTTTTGGTGCTAGCTGTTCAAAATCCAGTGTATTTTATATTTAAAAAGCACCTCAATTTGGACTAGTCATATTTCAGGTGTTCACCAGCTGCATGTTGGACAGTACAAATCTAGACCAAACAAATTATATTCTTGTACTTGCCTAGCATGCATAAAGTCTTGGGTTTGATCCTCAGCACTGCAAAAACAAAACAAATAACACCCTGTTATAGTTAGAGCCTACATGGTTGTTTAGATCTTTGGTTTTCAAGTCTAAAGAACTGTACCTAGTCATCATTTCCTGGGCTTAGGGCCTTTGACCCTCACAAGTATTCTCATCTTTCTCTCCACAGTATGAAAAAGCTTTCTCACCGAAGTATCTGCAGAACTGGTCTCCTGCCAAACCAACAAAAGAGGTATTCCATGTTTACTGCCCCTGAGAAGCCAATGTATGGTACTTTACATCATACTCTGTAATTCCCTGTTACCTAACTCCTTTGTAGACTTCTTTAAACTTCTATATTCTCCTCTCCCCATACCTTTCTTTCATCCAAGCCCCTCAGATACTTCCTTTTATGTTGTGGTTTACCTTCCTTTTTCACTTCAAGAACTTTTCTCTCCCACATCTACTACAGAGAATCTCTTTCCATGAAGGCTACACTCAGATTATCGCCAATGATCGTGGTCATCTGTTGCCTTCTGTGCCCCGTTCCAAGGTGAGATACCCATCTCCCTTCCTATCAAGAAAGATAAAGGACTAAGGTATAGAACTGGGAGATTGCAGCCACTATTTAGAAAATTAAAGTTCAGTCTCACTCATGTAAGTGACCCAAACTTTCAGTCAGTTTATCTACTAGAACAGTTAGATTTAGCACACAAGACTTTAAACTAATGATCTGTATTAACAATGTTTTCAGGTGATGATAATTACACATGGGACTTTTGTCACACTTAAGGATGCATAATTTAAGATGGCAGAGGAGAGGGGATAAAAAAAATTGGTAAAAAAATGGAACTAAGATGAACAGAGGTCCTGCTAATAGGACAGTTACTGGTAGTGAGAAGCCCTGTTGAGGAATCCCTTTTCCTTTTAGGCAAGTCCTTGGGGTTCCTTCATGGGCACCTGGCAAATGCCTCTGAAGGTACCCCCTGCTCGGGTGACCTTGACCTCCCGTACAGCTGCTGGTGCTGCCTCCCTCACCAAATGGATACAGAAAAATCCTGATTTACTCAAGGCCTCTAATGGACTTCGTCCTGAAATCTTAGGCAAGGTATCTATTTTTTCCATCTAACATCAAACCCTATTACCACTATTTCTTCTCAACCTCAAAAAAATGTCTATTGTTATGTCACCACTACCCAGCAGGGGGAGCCCCTAACCAATTCTGTCTTGTCTCACCCCTAATAACATTTTGGAGCCTTGAAGGGAAAAACTAAGGACATCTTGCCCCCACCACCTCACTCTGCATAGAAAATAATCTCAAGGGGAGGTTAGATGGAGCTATTCTTACTTGAAACCTGACCTTTTGTCCATGATATGAAGAGAAAGGGAGTTAGAATTCCGAGGTAGGTTGGGAAAAATCTGGGCCTGATGAGAAACATGATTCTCTCTTCCACTCTAACCCTGACAGCCCCATAATCCAGACAGTCGGAAGGCACTCAGGAAGGAGTCTATCACGAAGACTGTACAGCAAGCACCAAGTCCAACCATAATTCCAAGATCCCCAGCTTCCAATGGCAATTCCCCAGATCAAACCCAAAGCTCACACCCCTCTGCAGGTCACACTCCAGGTCCCCAAAGCCCAACCAACTCTCCTAAGAGCCTACATGGAAGCCCATGTGTGTCGTAGAACAGTGAGCAGGTCCTAATCTAGCTGAGATCCAGAAATGCACACCTGAAACTTCAGAGGGGATCAAGGGGCCACACTGAGAAAAATCTGTCTTAGAGATTGAGTGAAATAAATAAGACTCCCTGGTCAGAAATGCGGAACAGAAAAATTATGGGATAAGAGTAAAGGTAAATTTGGACAATAAACATTGTTGAATCTTTTACTGATCTGGATTTTCTCCTGCTACGGCTGTGTGTTGTAATCCATAATTAGGAGGGGAGATGGGGGAAATACAAGTAGGGAAAAGAATATTACAGTAGTTTGGGATGCAACACATTTGTACAAGGATTGAGTCAGTTACACTCCAGAAATGACCAAGGGAAAACTGGTCTGACACAGCAAAGGGCAGAACCTCAAAGAACTGAGGGTCACTCATCCTGAGCACATACAACAAACAACTTCAAAACCAGAAGGATTATTTAGTAGAGCATAATGTGTTTGTAGAAGGCAGAAAGAAACGTATATATATATATATAAAAAGTACATACAATTTGAAAACAGAAGATATGGAAATAATTAGAAGACAGAGGAAAAACAAAGCAAAATGTTAAGTACAAATTTAGAACAGAAAAATCCCAGGATGCTCTGCTATCCCATCCCACTCCTTCAATCATCTCATCAATCAATGGCTACAAAAAAACCCTCAGGTTTCCCAGCCTCCAACATCTCTTTATAGTTGACCCCACTATGCATCTTTCTGGCACTGGTTGTTAAATTTAATGCTGTTGCCAACCCTTTCCTTGGTCCTAGTGCCAAAGTATTCCCTCATGAACATTTGTCCCTCACTCAAAGTAGAGGACAGCTAATTTAAGTTGGAGGAAGGCTACAAGACTTCCTAGGGCCAAGCTAGTAAACTGGGGCAGTGAACATTATTTAAGGTCAAAGACTATTTGGGAACTAGGATAAAGACCACTGAGGCTGTAGGTCTCACTTTTGTAGCTTACATAAGGTTTCCTATCCAACTGACACCAGCTACCCATTGTTACTGTTCTTCAGCCCACAGCTTTAACTTGTTTACCAACAGCTCAGAATGAGATGGTGGATCTCTTACTTCAGAGTTTGCAAAGACTACCAAAACAACACTCTTGCCAAAGGATTTAAGGACACAGTAGCCTGACCCATGGATTATAAAAGCAACACATTTTTCCATACATATATGTAATTTTTTTTTGCTAGAATTTTGATACTTTTTAAGTTGCTGCTCATTTTTTCCCCAAGTCTACATCCTCGCTTAGTTGTTACCTCCACTGGTCCTATGTCCCCTCACTGCATAATTTGCTGAACTGTACCATGCAGCATATAATTTTTTTTGGTGGTGTACTGGGGCTTGAACTAAGGACCTATACATTGAGCCACTCCACAAGCCCTTTTTGCTGATTTTTTTTTTTTTTTCAAGATAGGGTCTTGAGAACTATTTGCCTGAGCTGGCTTCTCGATCCTGATCTCTGCCTCCTGAGTAGCTAGGATTACAGGCGTGAACTCCTGGCACCAGGCTGTTTAAAAATATTTGTGGTAGTACTAGGGCTTGAACTCAGGGCCTCACATTGCAAGGCAGGCGGGGCTCTACCACTTGAGTACTCTGCCAGCCATTTTTTTTGTGTGTGATGGGTTTTGTGTTTGTTAGATGTTTTCGAGATAGGATCTCAAGAACTATTTGCCCAGGCTATCTTCAAACCATGATTCTCCTGATCTCTGCCTCCCGAGTAGCTAGGATTATAGGGTGAGCCAGTGGTTCCTGACTTGTTCTCAGTGGAGTTTTGAAGCCTGAAATAATTCAAAAGCTCTCAATACCCTTAACTTCTCTCTCTTCCTTTTCTGAGCCTTCTCTATGATATCGAAATCTCTGGCTACTTATATTTGATTCCCTAAAATTTTTTCCAGTGGTCACTTGTCTGATAAACTGTTTCCCTCCTGGGAAAGGTCACACTGGGGGATGTAAATGTCTGAGACCCAAGGAAGAGGGAAGAAAGTGGCTCATCCCCAGTAGCCATCCTCCTCATTTCTCTAGATTTCAAAGAGAGTCAAGGATAAAATGAGTACTTTAATTCACATTCAGAAAAAGATGGTACAAGAACTTGGATTAGAAAACATGACATTAAGAGGTTTGCTTTTTCAGAAATACAAAAAAAAAAAAAAACCTTAATATAGACAATATTCTTTCTGGATCTTCTTGCATAAAAAGCTATAAATCTTCTTCCCCAAGTATCTGCTCTAAGAACCACTCACCCTCTTTATCTTGCTCTAGCTGGGCCAGGATAATTCTCCTTCACCCCCACCTCTTTTCTTTCAGTCACACTGTGTGGGTGCTAAAGGCCCTGGGCTCTGACCAATGAACAGAACTGTCCTTTAAACAAGCAGCCCACAGGCAGTGGCACCCTAAGCCTCACCCCTGTACCCAGGGCAGCCACAGAGCTGGCATTGTTTCTACTCTCTCAGGAAGAAGGAGCCAAAAGCTGACTCTCAGCACAAATCAAAGTCCAATATGGAGAGGGAGGAAGGGCTCCTAGGTCCAGAGTAGGCTGCAAGCTGTGGGCAGGAAAAGGGAGTTTTTACAGATATTCTATCATAAGAAACAAGAGGAGAACACCTTTTTTCCATAGTTTGATTCTGTAAGTTACTCTACTGAGCTCTTAGGGGATCTGGAAAGGATCTAAACAAAGCAGGAGAACTCTGTTGGCTGGAGATAAAAGTGACAAACAGGAAGATAAATCATTGTTGTAATTTTCAGGAAGATGATGCTAGAAACTGGAAATTTCAGCTCTTCACATGGCTGCCAGCCCTGCAGAGCACAACACAGTAAGAACCAACACAGCCACTCCACTTTGGTACAGCTGGTGAATCTTCATGCCTTTTCCTAGGTCCCAGGACTGTAGAAAAAAGAAAAGAATTTTTTCAGTAATCAAGACCCTGGTCACTCCCTTCTCCGAAAGAAATTCTCTACCTATTTGAATAGGTACTGCCTCTCTGCATGATTCTAGAGAAAAGCATTTATTTTTTATTTTAATTTTTTGCAATGCTAGGGCTTGAACTCAGGGCCTTCACCTTGAGCCACTCCACCAGTCCTTTTTTGCGATGGTTTTTTTCGAAATAGGGTCTCAAGAACTATTTGCTCCGGCTGGCTTCAAACCACGATCCTCCTGATCTCTGCCTCCTGAGTAGCTAGGATTACAGGCATGAGTCACCAGCACCTGGCTCAACTGATTTTCTTTAGAGAAGCTTTGTTTTGTGGAATAAGAAATCACTGATGGAAATGCCTTCCCCTGTCTACTCCCTCCCCCTCAGGAGAATGGAAATGAAAAGTCATTTTAAATCAAAACTAACACTCCTCCAGAGATGTTAATTTATTAGGTCATTTGGTCTCTCTTTTTTTTTTTTAAACCCGTTAAACTACTATTGAACCAGACTAAAATCCAGAAGATGCTTGTCTCTAAGGCTGATGTGGAAGTTATAAAAGGTCAAATTAAGGCAATAACATCCATTTCACAGTTGGCTCAGGTTCAGAAGTAATGGAAAACCAGAAAAACTAAAATTTTAATTGTCTTCTTAGGGAAAAATGTAAGACTAGGGTTAAGGGATACCACAAAATAGGAACTCTTAAAATGCTAGAGGAACTAATCTTTGATCTGGGGCAGGCCTGATTAAGCTTTTTAACGAGAAGAAAAACACCAATTTTGAACTGACACCAAGGTCATGAAGGAGCAACACGGATAATTTTCACTCCACTAACAGATTCCTAAATCTAAGATTAAAACCTAAGATCCTTGGCACCAATTTTTTTTTAAAGTTGTCCTCATTCCCTCCAATCATTCAAAAGACACAAAAATATTTAACACAATCTAATGTTAAAATAACAAAGGTTAATATATTTGAGTCCAGCCAGATTTGTCAGTCTGGGTTGATAGGAATGTTAGACTGAAAGCGTAATTGTGTTTATCTAGCTCATAACTGAATTCCCACTGTCTAGAACAGTTCTTGACACATTACTGGTACCAATTCATATTTATCTATTAAATATGCCTTCTATACCAGATGTATGATCTGGTTTTAGGAGTATCTTTTAATAACATCCCTCTTAAAACTGGAAAAGTTCACACCAAGACTCTTCAAGTACCTGCCTGGCCAGGTAAGGAATGCAGAAGGGATATTTCCCCAACAGCACCTGGAGGAAAGGTCCTCGAGTAAAGGTAACTAAGCTTAAGAATAGCACTGGGAACTGGGAGTGTAGCTCAAAAGCATGTATGAGACCCTGGGTTAATACACAGCACCCTAAAGGAAGAAGTAAAATAATACTAAACTCAGCAATAAAGGACAAGGGATTCCCAGTCTCCCCTCTCCCTTCATTCAGAAAATGTGCAAACCCACAATTAACTTACCAAGTGTCGGATCCCATTGAACATGTGATACGTGAGAGGCAAGGTAAGTACAAACTTAGCTGTGTAGATCAGTGCTGGCCCCAGATACAGGGACTTCACAAATTCCAAGTAAGTCTCAAAGTTCCAAGGGAGGAACAGGGCTGACAAGCCAAAAAGGGAGACCACTGAGGAGAAAACCAAATAACCCATCACAAATATCCTGCAGTTACAACTAATATAAAGCATAAAACTGAGTTAATGACAGCTAATGGCATCTCATACAATTTTAAACCATTCTGAAATAGAGAAAATGTAAACTGATGTTCAAGTTTATTTAAGACAGGTGACATGGACTCTGATAGTAATCTAAATTTACAGTATAATACATTATTCCTCTATAAAAAAAAAATCACACCTAACAGTTTCGAAGTCATTCATTTGCTGTATCATCATCTCAATTGTAAAAACAATATTCAGTCCAGGTAGAATAAGCAAATACTTCAAATCATTCAAATCTCGATGGTGGCTCACGCCTCTAATCCTGGCTACTCAGGAGACAGAGATCAGGAGGACTGAGGTTTAAAGCCAAGTCTCAGGCAAATAGTTTGTGAGATTCTATTTGGAATAAAAGCAATACAAAAAAGAGCTGGCAAAGTGGCTCAAGTGGTAAGAGTACCTGTCTAGCAAAAGTGTGAGGTTCTGAGTTCAAACCCAAAAAAAGTGAACACTAAAAATTTTTCTTTTAAAAACAAACAAAAATCCAGGTGCCACTGGCTCACATCTATAATCCTAGTATTAGGGAGGTAGAAATCAGGAGGATTGTGGTTCATAGCCACCCCAGACAAACAGTTTATGAGACTCTATCTCAAAAATACTCACTCAATACAAAAAAGGTCTGGCTGAGTGGCTCAAGTGGTAGAGTGCCTGCCTAGCAAATGAGAAGCCCTAAGTTCAAAGCCCTGTAGCACCATTAAAAACAAAACAAAAATGAAAATGGGTCAGAGACTAAAAAGGTTGTAACCAAAACTTTAAATAGTAATAAATCTTCATGAGCCTGGAGTAGGCAGTGGCTTCCTAGATTTGACACTAAAACCGTAAGTCATAAGAGGAAAAAAAAAAAAAAAAACAGAAGAATCAGACTGAAAGTTAAAAACTTTTGTCCTGAAAATGATATATGAAAGTAGCCAGGCAGAATGGTGCATGCCTGTAATCCCAGGTCTCAGGTCCAGGCCAGTCTGGGCTACATAGCAAGACCAAACTTCACAAAACAAAACAAAAGATAAAAAGACAACCCACAAAATGGGAGAAAATATTTGTAAATCATGTGTTTGATAAGAGATTTTTTTTTTTAAGCAGATAGGTGGTATTCGGAAAGGGAAGGAAGAACTGGACAAAGACATGAGGCATTTTTATTAAGAATATGTAAAGTGCAGAGTGATTTGATCATTCATTGAAGGTACAGCCTTACTTTTGCTCAGCAACTGTGGCTCTTCATTGGGCAGCAGCAGTGGCCAGGTGGTAGGAGAATATGGGCTAAGACTTCAGTTTTGGGTAAAAGTAAGTGACTGGAACCAAACTCAATGCTACTAAGTTCACTGGTAGGAAAGCCCCCATCCAAATACCTTGCCATTAGGGCTGGTGGAGTAGCTGAAACTATAAGACTGCCTAGCAAGTATGAGGTCCTGAGATCAAACCCCAACACCACAAAAAAAAAAAAAATCCTTGTAACTGCCTGGCCATTATAGTTGCCAGGAAAAGTGCTCCCCCTTCCTGTAGGGTAAAAAAACCTTATGGTTACCAGGACCTGATGATGGCGCTTTGAGAGGTTTGTTGTTACCAAAAATTGACTGAGCTTCTCATCTGCCCTTTTCTAGCAGTTAGTGAGAGATATTGCTCAGGATTTCAAAACCAACTTGAGATTTCAGAATGCAGCTACCGGTGTGCTTCAGAAGGCTAGTGAAGCATATCTGGTGGGTGCGTTTGAAGATACTAATCTGTGTGCCACTCAAGCTAAGAGAGTCACCATCATGACCAAAGGCATTCAATTGGCTCTCGGGATATGGGGAGAGAGTGTTTAAATGAAATCAGTTTTTTTGGAGTTTTGCAATAAATTCTGTAAAATACTTTGACTTTCTTTTGTAATAAAATGTTTATATTATGCTGTATTTGTACTTAAGTCATCCACTCAGGATGAATGGGAAAAAGTGACTGTACGCAGACTTCAGTGATATGAACAATGTAGCTCTGATGTGACAAGTTGCTAATATCCAGCAGGGATGGGTGGTGTTTCTTGCTTCTCATGATACAAGTTTCTGCAAATGATGTGTTGGGTAGCTGTTAAGGTACAGAACCGACCAAAAAAAAATGTGTACAGGGTCTTTTTTGCAATAGAACTGATTATGAGTTAATCCAAGTATCTAACAATTGGTACTGACCATTAAGTCTGACCATACATCACTGTGATAGAACATGGATTTTTTTCAAGGATAAAGTCTTAACCACAGTGTGAGTTACAGTGTTTCTAAAATGAAAGAAAGAAAAATTAATTCTAGCAGCTACAGAGTACACTATGTGCAATTTATAATACCTATTTTATGTATTGTAATGTCAACTTTTTTTTTTTTTTTTGGTGGTATTAGAGTTTGAACTCAGGGCTTCATGCTTGCTAGGTTGGTGGTCTGCCACTTAAGTCACGCCCCCCAGCCTGTTTTTGCTTTACTTACTTTTCAAGTAAGATCTTGCATTTTTTGTTCACAGTAAGCCTCAAACTCTGATCCTCCTGTCAAAGGCCTTCTGCTGTAGCTGTGCTCACAGGCATGCATCACTATGTCTGACTTACTGAGATGGAGTTTTGATAATTACCTGCCCTCAAACCATTACCTTCCTAATCTCCACCACCCAAGCAGATGGATTACAGGAGTAAAAGCCTCTGCACCTGGCCAATATTGTAAGATTAAATGTTTTACACACACACACACACACACACACACACACAAGGAATATATGAAGATGCTGGGTGTGGTGGCACACACTCAAAATCCCAGCACTTGGGAGGCGGAGGCAGAAGTATCACAAGTTCAAGGCCAGCCTGAGCTGGAATACATAGTGAACTCTAGACCAATATGGGCTATATAATAAGACCAACCCTATTTCAAAACGTCAAAAAAGAATGAAGAACTTTTACAACTCAATAATAAGATAACCCAATTTTTAAATGAGTCAAGGATCTAAATAGGTATCTCTCCAAAGATAAATGGTCAGTAAATATATGAAAAGATGCTCAATATCATTAGCCATTAGGGAAATGCAAATCAACACCACAGTGAGACCACTTGACATCTACTAAAATGTTATAATACATAATAAATATTAAAAGAGAGATAATGTGTTAGCGAGGATGTGGAGAAATTGGAACCTGCATTCATTGCTGTGGGAATGTAATGCTGCAGTTACTTCAGAAAACAATAGGGCAGCTTCTCAAAATGTTAAACACAGAATTACCATAGGATGCAGCAATTTCACTCCTAGGTATGTATCAAAAAGAAATGAAACATATTTCCATTAAAAAATGTGTACAAAAATGATCACAGCAGCATTATTCAGAAGAGCCAAAAAGTGGAAATGATCCAAATGTTTATCAATTGAAGAATAAGTAAATTAAATGGTATACCCACACAAAGGAGTATTTTTCAGTCTTAAAAAGAAATGAAGTACTGATACAGACTACAACATGGATGAACTTTGAAAGTATGCTAAGTAAAAGAAGCCAGTCACAAACAACCACGTACTATTCCATTTATAGAAAATGTTCAGAATAGGCAAGGCTATAGACAGAGAGTAGTTAAGTGATTCCCTAGGGTCTGAGGAGGATGGGAGGGGGTGCATGCATAGGGAGTGACTGCTAATGGATATGGGGTTTCTTTGCGGAGTAATAAAAATATCTTGCCAGGCACTGGTGGCTCATACCTGTAACCCTAGCTACGCAGGAGACAAACATAAGAAGATCCCAGTTCAAAGCCAGCCTGGGCAAATAGCTTGAGAGACTCTATCTCAAAAACACCCAACACAAAAAACAACCAGCCAAGTGGCTCAAGTAGTACAGCACCTACCTAGAAAGCATGAGGCTCTGAGATCAAACCCCAGTATCACCAAAAAAGAAAAAAAAAAGCAGGGGGTGGGGGAATAATTAAAATTTACCTTGGTGATTGTGGCGTAACTGTTAATATTGTTAATATACTAAAAAAACCACTGAATTATACATTTTAAATATGTGAATTGCATGTTGGTATGGGAATTACATCTCCAAAAGGCTGTTAAAAGAAAGAGTATCTATCATAATAGTTGTTACCTAGTTTCTACCCTGACATGTTTTCATCAGTAACTGTGGCTCAATTATAGAGTAATTCTAGACAGTAGGATGAAAAGGCACACTTGTTGAAAACCATTTTAACAATGATTTTAATAAGGATCGTTTTAATAAGCACTTACTTTTTCAATTCCACTGAAGTCAAAATCATTACAATTCAACTACAAGGAACTGTCTAATAGCAATGTTACTGAGATGGTTATATGAATTCTTTCCAAGATCTTTTTTTTTTTTTTTTGCTGGAACTGGGCTTTGCACTCAGGGCTTACCACTTAAGCCACATTTCCAATCCATTTTGCACTGATTATTTTTGGACATGGAGTCTCTCAAACTGTTCACCCAGGCTGGCCTCCAGCCTCTATCCTCCTGATCTCAGCCTCCCAAGTAGCCAGTATTACAAGCATGAGCCACCACTACCCAGCTCAAAGATATTAATAAACATGAAACATTCATAAATGATAGGGAATGGAGACAAGGATGCTGAGAATATAACTTCTGGATATTTGTTCTACTCTGTTGTCAAATGTAGCAAACATACACTCTTTTACTTCTTTCACTGACAATTACTAAAAGCGTACTATGTGCTAAATTTGTGGAAGGAAAAAACCAAGACTTGGTCTCTGCCCTCAAGAGCTTACAATCTAGTAGGCAGACATTTAAATAAACCATTTTACAGTACAGGATGATGAATACTACTACAAATGTGTGTGTGTGCACCCAGCATGCCATGAAATACAAAGTAAAAGAATCAAAATCCATCTGGTAGGAGAAGAAGAGTATCCCAAAAGGCTTTTTTCAGAGGTGTATTTACACTGAGTT